CGATTGCCATCTTTCTGTTTAGCAAGGGTTTGAGAACTCTTCGTACGGCATCATGGACCAACCTCTCCAGGTGCAGCAGGGTGAACTGAACTGGCGTCTCAGCGCCCATCCGATCACTCTTATGTTCTTCCTGGGGTTCCGCACCAGTGCGCTGTTGATGTATCTATTCGGTGTTTTATTTATCAAGAATTTGTAAGTTTCCCAAGTACTTGGGAGTTTACTGGTCGCTCCGTCTCATAGCTTCTCTTCCGCTAACACAATTCACAGCGTCCTTGTCTTCATCCTAACTCTAATCCTCCTCTCCGCGGACTTTTACTATTTGAAGAACATCGCCGGACGTCGATTAGTCGGTCTACGCTGGTGGAACGAAGTCAACACCGCTACCGGCGATTCCCACTGGGTCTTTGAATCCTCCGACCCTGCCACGCGCAGCATCTCGGGCACAGATAAGAGGTTCTTCTGGCTCAGCCTTTACGTGACACCTGCGCTGTGGATCGGACTCGCCGTTTTGGCGCTCGTGAGGATGAGCGGTGTTATTTGGTTGAGTCTAGTGGGTGAGTTGTCCTATGCTGATATCAATAGTTGTAACGGAGTCAAAGGCTAATACAGTCTCAGCCATTGCGTTGGTGCTGACCATCACCAATACGGTTGCATTCTCCCGTTGCGATCGCTTTAGCCAGGCTTCTACGTATGCTAGCCGGGCGTTTGGGGGCAATATTGTGAATAACCTTGCTGGGGGTCTGCTGGGCAGACTTTTCAAGTAAACTGCAGTCGAATCTATGCCATGTATGATTTTGTGTCATTTCCTTCCAGGGACAGTAGTCCGAGGTTCTCCTTACTTTTATGGCATTCTTAAGGATGAGACAGATAGCTGGAGCGTTGTATGACTATTCACAACTTTATACTAAATTATAGGTGATATTCGATCAAGCAGGATCCTATGATTATGAGATTACTGGGGGTATAATATGGTTGACGACCAAGTATGTGTATTTGTCTTCTACACAGATACTAAGCTGGTTTCATCAGCACAAGGTACTTTTGTTATTCCTGGGAATGTTACTACCTACAGCTGAGATAAAGTGACAATTTTCGGACTGTATTATACCCCCTGACATAAGAGATTACACATGTCTGTCACTTTTAGGGCAGCAGGAATATTTAAAAGAGTTTATGACCCAAGATAATGCTACTCAGATTCTAGTCTAGGGACTTAAAAGTCTTACAACAGAGACCTAACTTTACAAATCTCAGTGCCTAGTTGTTGGATTACACAGATTTGATATACTAGAAGTGTATGATCTCACACACTGTCTTATCAAACCCGAGACAGGACTCACTCAGATCATATGTCAGAGTCTCCATCACAGTCCTAGTAGTAACCAAAAAATCATGAGAAAATCGCGTTCTACCATATCCTACCCAAGCGCCATTGACCCTAATGTCTGCCTTGGAAGAATCCATGTCGATTGCAAGGCAGAAATCAAAGAGCATCAAACGATTTCACACCCTAATGCAAGTTGACTGTGCCGCAATTTCGATAGGAGGTCTTTCAACGCCATCGTGCCGCATAAAAAAAAATCTCCCTGGGGTATGTAGCTAGCTCAAACGAGACGATGGGATGCGTAAATGGCTGCTTTTTGCTTTTTATTTGGTTTCAATGGCTGTTGGTTCTGCCTTGATATAACTAACTATCCTGTCATTGTTTGGTCAGTAGAGGCAGTCTGTGAATAGGATTTTTGGGTTTGATTTTCACATACCTCCTTTTTCAGTGATGTATCAATATCTCTCTCTAATGGTTCTCATCAATGCATATTGTCCTGGGGAGCAATACCAGCTCAAGTAGACACTCCCCTATTGTTACATAGGGTTGCTTATAGTCAGCAATTTCAAGTCAATGATTCAGTAGACCTCGTTAAGCATAGAAGAGAGCCAGTCTGCTCTTTCCATTCTCCTAAGTGTGATACTTCACCGTCTGCTAGATGCACTCAAAGTCTCGGCGTAGAGGGACCTTTTCACAGAGTCTCGGCGCAGCAGGACTTTTTTGCACGATCTCAGCCTGTCCAGGCATTGATTCTTTCCTCTGGTTTCAGCCTTGCCAGTCCTTCATCATCCTAATTGGTTTCTGTTGGTTACCAGCACTTTTCCAGAGGAGATACATCGACTCACTAGCTGATTATCCTGGTCTTTTTTGTCTTGTCCGGAGAGTCTGAGAGTCTGAGCCCAGGTAAACGCAGCCAGTGCTGAAAATATCTTCCACAGCCAGGTCAAACCCAGCTATAAAAGCTTGGTTGAACAACCTTTTCTCGGATTGCGTCTTTTTGGTCCTTTTTTTGTTTGTTTCCTCAAGTCCCTTGTCTTTCTCGATGCGGAGAAACACGAAGGTCTCTAGAACTCGCTGGTCAGAGTCAGAGAAACGTCGGCTTCTCAATTACCGGGATAGACATCCTAACTTGCCTTGGGATCAAATCAAGCAGGTAACATGACTATACTTCATATATCTGAAGAATCATAGCTGATCTCTTCTAGGCTTTTCCAGGCCGCAGCGGAAATGCTCTCTGCAAGCAGTACTCTGTGAGTTGGGATGATACAAAGCAATATATGCATTGCTAATTCTTATAGGACCTGAAAATTGAACGTGAGAAGGACGCTCAGAAAAAGGTATGTTATCTCGGGAGTATCTCGTGTAATAGTCAGAGCTTGATGCTAACGTACCTCATGGTGATCAGGCGAACAATGGTAATATAGCGACTGAGGCAATGGTATGTCATCTCATTTGTAATATCGCGTGCAATAGTCAGAATTCATGCTAATATACCTCGTGTTGATTAGGCGAACAATCAGAATAAAGTGACCAACACTACTCAGCTCAGTAAAAAAAACAAACGTCTGATGGACCTCGAAGGAGACGACGAGATGCTCCCCAGAAAGCAACCCAAGACAGGTGATGTCGCAGCGAACACTGATGGTGACCCTGATTTCGATCCTAGCGAGGGTAGTGACTCAGACGGGGGCGACATTGACCCTGGAGGTGACATTGGCCGCTCACCTACTGCTCGTCAGCTTCGTAATACGCCTCGCAAGCAGCTGAACGATATTGTCGTGCGCTCGGCTTCTGGCCTGAAGCGCCCATCCACGACTACAAAGCTCCAATTCACTGCTCAACGTGGTGCACGCGATCCATTCAGCACAACGCCCGCTAGCCCTGACCCTCGTCGCACACTGCAGAACGCGAAAACATCTACCAAAACTACTAAATCTGCATCTGCCTCATCTCGCCCAACACTTTCAGGTTCTCACTCTCCTGAGAAAGCAGCAGAAACGAACAAACCTAAGGCAACCTCTGGAATCGCGTCACCGGTGCAGAGAGCTCGTCCAAGCTTATCTCCTGCAACCAATCGTCATTCTGCACAGAATCACCAACCTACTGCCAACGAACATTCGCCATCAAAGCCTGAGCAGAAAATGGCTCCTCGTCCTCCCTCTCCTCCTCCCTTTGCTACCACTGATCTTATGGAAGCTGGAAACGACGGATACCCACCCATGCAGCACGGTGCACACCTGCTTATGCAGGCAGCTAACGCCATGAGAGATCTCCCGAGAGAGCGTGCCCGTAACGCGCAGTTGGAAGAGAACAATGAGAATCTTATGATGGAGTTGATGAAGCTGAAGGAGAAGGAAGCCGAATGGAGACAAGAGATTGGAGAGCTCAAGGTCAACAACAGAAACCTCGAAGACGACCTCAAGAACCAAACCGATCAGGTCAAGAAGCTCGAGGCCGGAGTGAAGGAGATGAGCGAGAAGCAGCACCAGTGTGCTCTCGATTCCGCCAATGGAGCCACCAATACCGAATGCGAGGACTGCCTTCAGCATGTCACCCTCCTCAACACTCTAACCGAAGAGAATAAAAAGCTCAAACACAAATGCAAGCTTTTGGCTCAAGCAATCGCGGCCGGCAATGATCAAGCCTGATAGTGATGCCAGACCAGGCACACTTACCTACAACCCAGCTTGATCATTAGCTTGGTCATTGCATAAGGTCGTGGGAAAGTGATTTAATTGCTGGCATAATGATTCTGGAGCAGGAGCTGGTGACCTTTGTGTACTTTTACTCATCGCCATCTTGGTGTTGTTCTTACCATTACTTGGGAGAACTTGCCCAGTTATCTCTGTAACTAGGGTTCTAATGATTTACGACTTCTGAAATGATTCTTGCCTCATGATAGAACTGTAGGATTGCCTAAGCCGCGATACCGGACTAGTATGGTATGAAGTGTACCTTAAGCCTATCAGTAGCTGGTGCAATATAATCGCTATTCGACAAATATAGACATACGGAGGAAATGAAGCCATGTACTCGCGACTGCCTGCATGATATAATGAAAACTACGGCATCGGATATTCGAACTATATAAGCAAGACTGCAAATTCATCCAAATTCATCGGCGTTTGCACAGAATCCATATAGCTCGGTTGTTGGCCTGAGGACACAGGCAGGCAACAGCTTGACAACTGAGAGACTTTTCTTGTGAATATTGATTGTCTGTGCAAGATTTTCTCAGGAGACAAACAAAGGTTGAGGCGTCGTTGTTGTTGTGGTTTGTTTGTTGCTCCTCGAGCTCACCTACTCTTCTTTCCTCCCTCACTTTCTCTATTCTTCACCCATATCCCATTCATTTCCTTTCTACATATTTGCATCTTTCCGCATCTGTCCCCTTTTTGTTTCTTGATTCCTCTAAGAAGACTCGTGTAAGGGTAAGTCTTTCCACTATGCTTTGATCAAATCAAGTCTGCCGGGATACTTTTCATCGTCGCCCATCGAACACGTTCTGTGTGTTTCTGAAAATTTTCCATCAGGGCATTTGCCTTTTCCATTGCTTTCTCAAGAGAGACATCTGTTTAATATTCTCACCAAAGCATATGATGCGAAGCAAAATCCTTGACAACACCGTCGTCTAACTTGCTTTCCTTTTAGTTTCGAGAGTGAACCAACAGTCAAAATGTCTGGCTGGAACTCCGGCGAGGCAGATACCTGGAATACCGGTGAAGCAAGCAGCTGGAATGACAACAATGGTGCTGGTACGTACGCCTTCATACTTCCTTTCCAGCAGTGGCGGACGTGTTGGCAGTCCTGCTCTGTTGCGGGGAGCCTCATCATCCTGGGCCGGTACCGGCAAGAATAACATCTGCGGAAACGTGTATACTCACTTTTTGTTTAGCAGGTTTCGCTGACGAGAATGTCAACCCAATCAGCTCCGCCCCTGCTGGAGACTTCGGCGAGAGCAAATGGGGCGGTGATCACTCTGGTGGTCAGTTCGAGCCTACCTCCGGTGCTGGTGAAGAGGGCAATGACAATAAGTGTCGCAAGTATGTGTCTTCCTCCCTTGGCAAGCTCTACGAGGTTTCCGCTGCTGACAAGGCCCAGTTGCGGAGGTGATGGTCACTTTGCGCGTGAATGTCCTGAACCTCGTAAGGGTATGGCTTGCTTCAATTGCGGCGAGGAGGGGTAAGTAATTCTAGGCTACAAGTCAATTTTTGTCAATGCTAATGCTGTATAGTCATTCCAAGGCAGAGTGCACCAAGCCGCGTGTGTTCAAAGGTCCTTGCCGTATCTGCAGCAAGGAGGGACACCCGGCTGCGGAGTGTCCTGATAGACCCCCTGATGTGTGCAAGAACTGCCAGTCCGAAGGTATGTGCGTGGCCTTGCGCAGATAGATTAAGGTAGCTGACAAAAGCATGCGCCAGGTCACAAGACTATCGAGTGCACCGAGAATCGCAAATTCGATCTGAACGATATCCCCGACAAGCTTCCCGAGGAGGCCTGGGCTGCCCTCAAGAAGGCTAGTGACGAGAGAGATCTGGAGGACTTCCGTGAGGTATGTCAGTTTCATTGACCTACACGCATTGCTGATATATACACCTGGAACACAATGATTGGTGGCTGACAACCCTTGTAGGGCCTCAAGGTCTATGCCAAGGCGGTTCCTCAGGCCACTTTTGTGGATATTGAGAAGAAAATGCGTGAGGATAATTTCAACATTTACCTGATTGCCATGGTTTGTTCGAAAACTCTTGGTCTTGTACGTTCTTTGGGAAATACTGACGGCGCTCTATCACTGCAGGAGAAGCCAGTCGGCGACAGCATCAGCTTGATCAACCTTCAGGGCAAGTTGAACTGCAAGTACGTCGTTGCGTTCTACTTTAGCCCTAAGCCGCAGCGCGCGAACCTCAAGGAACGCTGGCCCGCCGACCCTGAAGAGAACCTTGAGCGCCTTGAGGACGCTGGCTTCCCTTACGATAGACAAATTCCCAAGTGCAATAACTGCGGTGGTGAGCTTGAACTTTCTCTGCTTGGATGTCGCTGCTCTTAGGAATAATGCTAAAGAATCGCAGAAATGGGTCACACTGCTCGTGGTTGCAAGGAAGAGCGTGCTCTGGTGGAGCGGGTCGAAGTCAAATGTGTCAACTGTAGCGCCAGTGGACATCGTGCCCGTGACTGCACTGAGCCTCGCGTCGACAGGTTTGCTTGTCGTAACTGCGGGTATGTCGTTCTTCCTCTCTTCATCTTCCGAGGCTTGCGTTGACTTGAATAGATCCCCGGAACATAAGGCAGCCGACTGTCCCAATCCCCGCTCTGCTGAGGGTGTCGAATGCAAGCGCTGCAATGAGAGTAAGTGTTACGTTTGGATGTCACTGACCACCACACATGCATATACTGATGACTGCAGTGGGCCACTTTGCAAAGGATTGTCCTCAGGCACCTGCCCCTAGAACCTGCCGCAACTGCGGGTAAGTCTCGGAGAAAGGAGCTGTAGTCGCCGTCGACATTCTAACTGCAGCAGATCTGAGGACCACATGGCGAGAGATTGTGACAAACCTCGCGATGTGTCAACCGTGACTTGCCGTAATTGTGACGAAGGTAAGATGCCATTTGCTGATATGATCGGCTGTTTCTCGTACCTACAGTCTAACGCATGATATTCTAGTTGGACACTTTAGCCGTGACTGCCCCCAGAAGAAGGACTGGTCCAAGGTCAAATGCAACAACTGTGGTGAAAGTGAGTGATCTGCCAAGGGATGCCAGACATAATGATTATATGTTGACCAATGTAACAGTGGGCCACACCATCAAGCGCTGTCCACAGGCTGCCACTGAGAGTTTCGGGCAGGACAACAACGACATCCAAGACAATGCCGCGGGCGATGATTGGAATACCGCTGCCCCCGTCAGCAATGAAAATACTGACGGAGATGCCGAAGCGGGCGGTTGGTCGGGCGGTGGTGGTGGATGGTAGATATCAGGGCGCATGGAGGAGAACGCTGTGCCTGGTGGTGTCTACCGTTCGGTTGAAGATTGACGATGTCTGAATCCGATGTCATGCGCAAGCGTCGTGATCGTCCCTGGATGTTGTCTGCTCGACCGCTCTGACCATTTCCGGTCTAACCTTGATGCTACTGCCAGTGTACTCCATATTCGCTGGCCTCCTGCCTTTGTTGCCGTCGCTGGCTATCCAAGCTCAACCGGGCGGGCCCGGATAACTTCTAAACCAGATCTGAAGAAAGACACCCGGGTACAATCGGGCAGAGGGCTCGCATTGACTGTTGACTGTTTGTGATGTGGTCGACAGTAGGCAGCCTTCTGTTTGTGATCTCGGATATGATGAATTTACGACTTGATATGAATGACCTCCAGCGTAGCATGTAGATGATCCGGCCCGACTCCCTGTAGCCGGATTTGTAGTCCTACGCAGAGCTCACACCTGCATTACTGCTCCAGTAGTGTAAATGCACCCGATAACCCATCTTACCAAAACCACCATTGATGAATCGTACCGGTGCTTTGGAGTTTGGACCCAGCGGGGCGAATGAATGGGGTCGATTAGTTTCTCATTTGAAGTCTACAATGACCATTCACTCGACTTGTTCGACTTTCGAGACTACATTTCGTGAGAAATGTCCCTCCATCTAATTACCGAACATATATATATGTGGTAGCCCGAATTGATGAGATTAGGGCCATGGAGGATTTCCGGCTGGGTTGTGGCGTCGCCATATCGTGGATCGAATACGGGAGCTTAAGCACCGATGGTGTAGGTTTTGTTAATTAATGAAGAGGTTCAGTTGAGCCACTGCCGTCATCAGGGCTGTGAAACCAACCGCCCCACAGCGCCGCGTTTCTGGAATATCATCAGACTCAGATTAGACCATTTTCATTTGTATACGATGTCGGTGAGAGTTCGGCTGAAGCTGTAGGTATTTTGATCAGACGATTCAATGGATGAGCGAAAGTCAAGATTATAGGCCTAGGTCGACAGTCACATGTTATTATGAATGCTACGTAAAGGTTGAGCTCCGGCGAATGTAATGCGCAGTCAATGGCAAGCATGACAGGACTCCAACACGAGCAATGGAAAGCCAAACTGCGAAGCGAAATGAAGCGAAATGCATACTGATATGACCTGGCCCGGAATCGCCTGAATAGGCAGTTCCGGCGGGTCTCCAGTGCAGGCAGACATAGCAAAGGTGCGACATCGACCATCACAGGCCATCGATAACGGTTAAACGAGTCAATCAGAGCAGTGCATACGGTGGAGCGGCTGTGCACGTTCCATTTCAGTCGCGCTTGAGCCTCGAGGATTCATGGTGGGCTCTGATGGAGGGTAGGCGACTATTTGTGTTCTCCACGTTTGGTTAGTACTTGGTCCAAGATGAAATGGTCAAAGTCAAGGAGGCGACGACCTGGGGAAGTGGACCAAAGGTACCAACTACCAAGTAAGGTATCCTACACCTACATTTCACAAATAAGCACTCACGCGTCTCTACTAAGAGTTATGTATATTGATCCTATTCGCTCTGCAGCATAGTCTTGATTCTTGAATGCGTGCTTTTTCTTTTCTTTTGCTTCTGGGGTTGTCCCGGTCTTGGGGGTGGGCCGATCCTATTCTCGGCGAAGACGCTGGGCATCCCGGACTGGGTTTCTCCGGAGTCCGGCCCGCGTTTCGGCCTTGGACTTTGGTGGAGATCGGGCTGAACTGCCAGACGGAATAGTATGTTTCTCAACTGAGTCAACTCCCTAGACTAGCTAGCATGAGATAGCATCTTGAGAAACACGACATGTGTAGTTCGTACTCCGCTGCCTTGATGCTGGCGAATAAAGCTACTGTTGCCTTTTTCTTTACGGAAGACGTAGACAGTCTATGGACACGGATCAGTTGTCTCCGAGACTCTCACAACCCCAGATTCATGAATAATCAAGTCATAAAATGGAAAAGTGAGATCAAGTTGATCAACCCACTTGAAGACCCGCTTATGTCTGATCGCGTAGTAGTCGGCCATGGCCCATGTACGCGGTATCCTTAGAATTCAAGCGACAACCACGCGAAGGACCAAGCGAGCAGTCACAAGCTTCAAGGACGCGAGGGAGAATTATTTGTTCCATCCTCCAGCATAGCATCTTATGTAGAACCAAAGAATCGGCAATTTTCCAACCGCGGGAATCGTCTCCTCGACTCTCCTGTATCTACTCGAAGTACGCAGTACTTCTGTACCAGTATTCCTCGGGTTGCCCAAAACAGGTTAGCGCATGGACGTCTGCGGTTAAACCAAGAGAACCAAACCCACGCCATGACGGCATAATAATCCTTAGGATTGGAAAGACATCAAATGATAATAATGTTTTCAATCAGCAGTTCTACATGCTAAATCTAAATTTCGCGCCGGTCATTCCCCGCCGATCAATCAAGCCACACCACCGCCGTGCCGCCGTCATTTCTGGTCTCCCCCCCATCAGGGTCGGGGTCAAAGTGGGGATCCTGTATAGTAACACCACGCCCCCATAACCCCCGTACCCCAATGCAAAGAACGAGCCACTACCTCTTACCCGACTCACGAAATGACGGGGAAATTCGTTGCCTCGCTCGATCCGGAGATGGTGGAGTTCATTTCCAACCGTCCCCATCCAATCTCCTCGACGATGGTATTCGCTGATTTGCCCATGAGCTCGTCTGCGATACCAAATCATGCCGCCAGTTGGGAGGCATTTCCCGATCACTGCTGCTTTGGGCAAAGTACCTGCCTTAGGTTCTCTCTACTTGATCCTTGAGCTTTTACTTTTCACCAGGATCCTAGGTAGTAGTAATCATGATAATTATTGGCTCTTTCCTGAACATACATTTAATAAACCCTCTCTTTTAAAAACCCCCCATCTCTTCCCTCGTGCGACGCTGATCTGTTTTTCTCTGATTAATTCTTTCTCTTTTCCCTCTTTTCAAATCAGTCCTGGACTTATCTTTCCGTCATATGAGTCTGTCTGCTCTGGGGTCCTAGCCTTACCTACCAAGCAGTCTCTTTCTTCGTCCGGATCTTGAAGTATCGAGGCATACGGTGCTTTGCGCAAGATGGGAACCGAACGGTATCTGGGCCTTCAAGGCCACAAGCTCCAGCTGGCTATCGGTATCATTGCCGGTATGGACTTTCTGCTGTTCGGGTAAGTTTGGGATGGATCCATCTTCTCTGACATTTGCGCTTTCTGCTGGCGATATCTGACTTTTTCGACCAGGTACGATCAAGGTGTCACTGGAGGTCTTTTAACCTTGGAATCATTCGTCAAATACTTCCCAACAATCGCCCTTACCGGACCTTATTTTGAAAGCTTGAGCCCGTCTGAAAGAAGTGCGCAGTCTACGCGCCAAGGTGAGTATCAATCCCATGTCTTGACTGGGTCTGTGTTTCTCGGGCTGTCGCTTACATCTCACTCAGGTATCGTTGTTGCTGCTTATAACTTGGGATGTTTCGCCGGATCGATTCCCACCATCTGGGTGGGTAATTGGCTGGGTCGCCGCAAGACAATCTTCCTCGGTTCCTTGATCATGGTGGTTGGAGCGATCCTGCAGTGTACATCCTACCATCTTCCGCAGTTGATTGTTGGTCGTTTGGTTACCGGTTTTGGTGAGTTTCGCCGGCCAGTACAGGCATCGTCACCGACTCCAGAGGACCTATGTGCTAATGCAGGTGGAAACAGGTAATGGTATGAACACCTCAACAGTGCCCACATGGCAATCGGAATGCTGCAAGTCCAACCGTCGCGGTCAGATGGTCATGATCGAGGGTGCCATGATCACTTGCGGCATTACCATCAGTTACTGGATCGATTTTGGTCTGCTTTTTGCGGACCCCAGCGAAGTGGCCTGGCGTTTCCCCTTGGCCTTCCAGATCTTCTTTGCAGCGATTATCCTGGCTTTCGTCATGTCGCTTCCCGAATCACCCCGCTGGCTTGTTCTCAAGGGCCGCGAGGATGAAGCAAGGCGGACTCTGACCGCTTTGCTGGGTAGCGACGCCGATGAAACTTTTATCGAGACCGAATTTACCGCCATCAAGGCTACTGTCCTGGAGATGAGCAAGGGTTCGTTCCGCGACATGTTCACCATGACTGAGGATCGCCACTTCCATCGTACCGTGCTTGCCTACGTCAACCAGATGTTCCAGCAGATTTCCGGAATCAACCTGATCACGTATTACATTCCGGTTGTGCTGGAGCAGCAGCTGGGCATGACCATGATCAAGTCCCGGCTGATTGCCGCTTGCAACGGAACCGAGTACTTCATTGCTTCCTGGATTGCCGTGTTCACTATTGAGCATTTTGGTCGCCGTTCCCTGATGTTGTTTGGTGCCGCCGGTATGTCGATCTCCATGGTTATCCTGGCCGTCACGGCCAGTCTCGGCACCGACGCATCCAAAGTCGCTTGTGCCGTCTTCCTCTTCGTGTTCAACACCTTCTTCGCCATTGGTTGGTTGGGTATGACCTGGCTGTACCCTGCCGAGATTGTCCCTCTGAAGATTCGTGCCCCCGCCAATGCCTTGTCTACGTCCTCGAACTGGATTTTCAACTTTATGGTCGTCATGATTACTCCGGTGGCATTCGAGAACATCAAATGGCGGACCTACATTATCTTTGCCGTCATGTAAGCTTCTCTCTTTTTTTTCCGTTTCCGGGACAGACGCTAACCAACGACAGTAACGCCGCCATCTTCCCCGTTGTCTACTTCTTCTACCCAGAGACTACCAGACGGTCTCTGGAGGAGATGGACCGTATTTTCCGAAAGACCAAGAGCATCTTTTCTGTGGTTCGCGTTGCTAGGGAGGAGCCACACATGTATGGCAAGAAGGGCGAACTTTTGCTCACACTGGATGATGTGGAGGACGACGCCCTGCGCCGTGCAAGCGTGTTGAGCCACGCTCACAAGGAAGCCGGAGGCAACAGCGACGAGAACACGAGCTCCGAGAGAGTGGAGCGCATGGAAAAGGCCTAGATGGCTTGACGCACGAATAGAAAAGGTCCTATCATGAATGCCTCTAGATGAGGCATGTTGTAAGAGTGGGACGGTTGATACTGTCCACCTGCATGGCTATATACCCCGCTTTGAATTAATTGTACGGAGACTTCTAGACTTATCCATTTTCGTCATCAGATTCAAGGCTTCCCTGCCCATCGTAGAAGTGTATATCTATAGTTCTTTCGTCATCATAGTCTTGTTCGTCGGGTTGACTGCCATCGCACCACGTTTAGTCCCGTTCTTAAAGTACTATGCTGCAGGCTACAACCCTATCAGGTGGTGCACTACCTCATCTGTCAATTCACCACCCAGCACATGACAACGTGGCATGCATTACTCTGGTTCGAGCGAGTCGTTCATACCAGCTGGTTGAAAGAAAGGAGGGAGTACACGCAAAGCAGCAGCTCAAATCAGATCTTCGATAGGACACAACGACTACCAGTATTACTATTTACGCAGTTCAAGTAGAAAGCAGCTAGAACCACTGACATACCGCAACAGAGACATAATCGGTAGAAGTGGCTTTGACCGACATCGGCAGCTCGAAGCCAAACTATACTGTGAGTCATTCAAGGTTTGAGGGGTCTGCTGCAGTGAGTGTGCGTTGGGAAGTTGGCGTTGTGACCAGCCAGCTGTTGAGTGTGGAATAGGATCCGTTGAATAGAATTCTTTCCTTTCACGATACCATGGAAGGAAAGGAAAGGGAAAGATGAAGCTCTACAAGTAAACCGTCGTTCAAACAAAGTTGGGCGGGTGGAATGTCCGCTCCGGCTTTAAGCGTCGAAGCTTCAGGAAAAAGGAAAAAAAAAAAAAGGAGAGAAAAAAAGAAAAAAGGTTGGTCCGATCGTCGGATTGCAAACTCCGCTCCACGATCAAATTAATATTGGCTTGGGGGGATTCAGATATCCTGGCTTTCGTTTCTTGGGGTTTTCTTGTTGTGATCTTGATTGATTTGACGGGTTCTGGCAATTAGTGTCTGCATCTGGACTTGTCTGCTTGTTCTGAGTCCTGACGGGGTAATAAGTAAGACACTTACTACGGCGTATACAGTACTAATATCGGTCTCGGTCTCTGGCTCGTCGACCAGGTACGTTGAATAAGGAGGTGATGTCTCCTGCAAGTCGATCTACAGTGAACGCTGGAGGAGATTTTCGCTGCCTCAATTCCTCTCTCATTTCCTATTCCGGAAAATGAGACTTTACAAGTCTATCTGGACAGTGACACATGCTAATTGACAATCATCAGAACAATTTCCAACAAGCTAGCGTGGAGAGATTATCTTTATCCGTTCTGAAGTAGTCGAATTGCATCACAGTCCTATATTTGACGCCTGGCGGTGCGGGGCTTGCAGATCTCTTCGATGCGTTGAAGGTTCTGCATTATCTCCCGTGGTTCCGACTCGAGTGTTGTTCTTGTTCTTTCTATTTGATTCAATCATTTAGAATTCCTACTTGCTCTGGATATTCCTGCACCATCAATGCAGCTCTAATCATAATCGGTATCTCACTACTCATTCCATCGCCTCAATATGTCCTCATCAGAAGGAGAAATCCGTCCCAAAGATGTGGGGAAGCATCAGGACACCGAGAATGTCCGGGAACCATCAACTGAGACTCAGAATGATGTTGAATCTGGCGATGAGCCCAGCATCGCTGAGATTGAGCGCATCTATAGGTGTGTTTCTGCGTGACGTGTGATGCCACAGAAAGAAGCTTACAGTCATCCAGAAAACTAGACTATCGGATTATCCCTGCCTTTTGGGTACTGTACTTTCTCTGCTCTGCCATCCGATCCAACGTTGGTCTGGCACAGACGATGAACATGGACGTAGGCCACGACCTCGGGTCCGTGCTGCACCTGACGCCTCATCAGATCTCGACCGGTCTCGCCTTGTTCTACGTCTGCTATGTGGTCTTTGACTTGCCGTCGAATCTGGTGATGACCAGACTCAGCCCGCACATCTGGATGAGTCGGATCGTCATCAGCGTGGGTATTATTGGCAGTTGCATGGCGGCCATGAAAGCAGCGTGGAGCTTATAGTATGTTTAATCCCTGCTCTTTTGGAGTTTGCAGTTTCTGACCGCACACACAGTCTCCTCCGTCTTCTGCTCGGCATCGTCATTGCCGGCATGTGGCCCGGAATGACCTATTACCTCACCCTCTTCTACCCTCCCTCGCGGACGGGCAAACGCATCGGCCAATACTTCACTGCCGCCCAGATCTCCGCCGCCGTCGTGGGCCTGGTGTCGGCAGGGTTCCAGAAGATGGACGGCGAGCGCGGCCTCGTGGGCTTCCAATGGATGTTCCTCGTCTACGGCGTCATCACCATCGCCGTCGGCATCGTCCTTCTCTGGTGGCTTCCCGACCGGCCCATGGCCCCTGGCGTCCAACCCCCGCGTCGCAAGTATCTCCGGTGGCTGCCACGCAGCGCCCCCGCCCTCACGGGCCGAGACGCAGAGATCCACTACCACGACCTGAGGCGCGTCTACCACCGTCCGCAGTGGTCCCTCCGCGACCTCCTCGGCGTGTTCCTCGATTGGCGCCTGTGGCCGCTACTGGTCATGTACTTTGGCGTGGTCGGCGTGGGCATCGGCGTCCAGAACTACGCCACCGTCATCATCAGGGGGATCGACCAGTCCCTGAACGGGATCGACCTGAGTCTCCTCACAGCCCCAATCTGGCTTGTCAGTCTCCCCATTAACTCCATTGCCGCATACACTGACAGCAGCAGATGGACCTCCTCGGCATCCTCCTGGTAACGCCCTTCTCCGACCGCTTCCACAAACACCGAGCCCTCTTCTTCTCCCTCCCCGTCTGCCTCCAGATCCTCGGCCTCCTCCTAACAACCTACGCCGGCTCCCCCACAAACCCCTGGCCCCGCTACGGCGGCCTCCTCATCGTCGGCTTCGGCCTCGGCCCCACAGTCCCCATCACCATGTCCTGGACAACAGAGGTCTTCCAGCCCCGCCACGGCGAAGTCGGCGTCGCCGCCGCCTCGGCCGTCGTCTCCGGCTGGGGAAACCTCGGCAGCATCCTCACCACCTACGCCCTCTACACCGGCTGGCCCAGCGACAGCGCTGCCCCCGGCCGCGCCAAGTTCCGCAAATCCAACCTCGTCATGGTCGGCATCCTGTGCGCCAGTATCCTTTCGTCGGTGCTCATGCAGACGGGCCTTTGGCTGGCGGAGCGGAGGAGGCGCGCTCGCGGAGCCGGTGAGCCGGGGAAGATTGTCGATGTTGCCGCTAGGCGTGAGGCTCAACAGCGTGGTTTGCAGGGTCTGGGGTCTTCGGGTCTTCTCCGCATTTTCAGAAAGGGCACGTAGTCGTAGACAAGTGGTGAATCGATAGATTGCTCATGATTGGCTTTGGAAAGACGGAGATAGATACTGGCTCCTGCACTCTGTGATAGCATGCAATTCAGTGTCCATGCAATATAATCAATAGACGAATAGGTAGTTGCTCGCTTTTTATGTGTGGTTTTGACAGCATATGTATATATAGCGAAAGCTGATATCTACTGCAGCGGATACAGCAAAGATAGCATGACAATTACACTTTGCTACTATCATAAAGGCAGTCCAGTCATTCCTGTTTATAAACCTTGATTGTTCATGATTCAAATGATTGTTCTCCGTTTCACCTCGGAAAGAAGTCCTCTATGCTGTACGTGACACATAACCCACATGGGAAGACAAAAAAATCTGATTAAAAATGCAACAGCAGCAGTGGGTAACGAACGCAAAGGCGCAAGCTCTGGCATCTCGAGAGTAAGAGTGACAACCTGAAATACCGACAGTAAGGATGGGAAAACGAGAAAAGAAATCTATGTTTGCTCCACACGTTGCCAGGCCGCTCTTGTAGTTCTACACCCAGTTGACGCCGGCGGGTATACTAGCGCTAATGAAATGTTTGCACATTTTGTTGTGATATCGAAGATATCTAGTTGCCACCGCAGAGAGTCTCGACGATGATACCGGTGATCTGGTAGGGACAAGCGTTACTGGCGGGACGGCGGTCCTCGAAGTAACCCTTGCCGTCCTTGGCAACCTGGCGGGGAATACGAATGCTGCCACCACGGTCGGCGACACCATAGCTGAACTTGTCGATGCTGCCGGTCTCGTGACGGCCAGTGAGACGCTCTTCGTTGCCCTCACCGTAGACGGCAATGTGCTCGTTGTGACGGGCTTCCAGCTTCTGCATGTAAGCCTCAATGGCCTTCATACCACCTTCAGCACGAGTGGAGGCAGTAGAGACGTTGGTGTGGAGACCGGCTCCGTTCCAGTCACCCTTGATGGGCTTGGGCTCGAAGGAAATCTTGACGCCGAACTCTTCAGCGACACGGTGGAGCAGGAAGCGGGACATCCAAAGTTGGTCACCCACTGTTGTATTTAGTCAGTACTGGCTTATGCATTAAAGGAAGGTGGATCATGACGTACTCTCAATACCCTGGCAGGGACCGACCTGGTACTCCCACTGGGAGGGCATGACCTCAGCGTTGATACCGGAGATCTTGATACCGGCGTACAAGCAGGCACGGTAGTGAGCCTCAACAATGTCACGGCAGTAGACCTTGCCAGTTCCGACACCGCAGTAGTAAGGACCCTGAGCACCGGGGAAACCGCCCTTGGGCCATCCGTAAGGCCAGCCGTCAGTGCCGAGGAGGGTGTATTCTTGTTCCAGACCGAACCAGAACTCTTCCTTGGCGTGGATTTCCATCAGGCGGTTGGCCTCATGACGGTAGTTAAACTTGTTGGGGGTTCCATCCGAATCCCAGGTCTCGCAGAGAACGAGGATGTTATCGCCACGGCGGAAGGGATCTGGGAAGATAGCAACAGGGCGGAGGTAGACATCAGAGTTGTCACCGGGGGCCTGGCCGGTGGAAGAACCGTCAAAGTTCCATTCAGGGAGCTCATCGACAGATTTAACAGGCGTGGTGAGAGTCTAAATGGACGAAGGATTGAATTAGCAAACATGAGTCTCAAGATCGCGCTGCGTTGTATCGCCTGTCACGTGTCACGGGAAGGTGCAGATATGAAATCATGGCTTGCAGTTCCTAGTCACCGTGCGCAGGGTTTATCGGAAGAGGGTGCGAGTTAAGATAACAGCACGTCTCATTTCATTTCGCCAACCCAGCATCCCACAGTGACCATAACCAGCAATATCCAGGTATTCATCTTGTCGCCAAGATTGTACACCCATTCACATGGAATCCATGTTCCACAATCGCATTTCCACGTAACAAGTAGGATCGATTTTCAGTGGAGAAAAAAGATCTTGCATACCTTGGTCTTGCAGCGGCAGTTACCGACAGCGTCGATCCAGACGTACTCAGCCTGGACATGTCCCCGTTGGTCGAGGCTCATGTACTTCATGAGCTGTTGCCAGCGCACAAAAGTCAGTATGACTGTTTCCTCTAAACCGCAGAGGCGGCTGAAGGAAAAATTGTGAAATCAATAAAGAGGAAACGCACATTCTCCGTGTTGGAGATGACGGTTGATGTTGCAGCCTAATAGCAAGAAGGTATGAGTCAGAACACCAGTCTTCAACGAAATCACCCAAAACATTGTATTCGAATGTATTGAAATACTCACCATGATTGGCAGAATATGTGATATGAAGATAGATTTCTCTTCTTGACGAATGTTTCAGGCTCGCAGACGCAGAGCACGCAAAGACTTCAATTACTCAAAATGAAGTCGATTCCAGTAGACAGAGAGATTGACGACGACAATAATCCAGAGATGGATGAAAGCGACGATACACTGAAGAGCAGATAAGAGAGAGAAAGAGGGTTAAGTGTTAAATAAAGAGGAGGACGATAAAGGATGGAGATGAGGCGAAATGGTTATATGGGAGTCACGGTAGAAAGGCGGGTGGGGGGCGAGGATATCCTTCAAATTTAAGGCAAGAAGGACGACATGAGGGCAACCGAATTTCTTTGGGGCGCCGGGGGGGCAAAAATTCAGTTATTTTTACGGGAAAGATGAAGGAACCCAGAATAATCCCACTGGGAGATCCATCAAAACTGAAAATTAGATAGGGAAACAGTTTGAAAATTACCTTACACGTTGGTTGCTGGGCGCCTTCCCGTAATACCAATTCCCACCAATCAGCATCATATCCACTTCTATGTTCATAAGTTACAGCCTGCATGATCGAATCATCTGGCCTCTACGAAGTATTCATACCTAGAATTGATGGTTCAGAATAAAATTTGAGGGTTTTTACTTTCTAGTGTTCTCGCCGGAATATCAAGTGCTGGATACTTTCATTATTCTGGTGCTCAACTGGAATGAGGCAAAAGTACTAAAGTGTGGGCGGAAATTAGTACGAGATTATCACCACATCAGTACCATACCAACCATATATCCCTCATAATCATCATCATCGTATAACAGATCAAAATTATCTCTACCACTGTAGAAAGGATACTGTAACTGAAGAATTAAGTCAATAGGTCTTCTCCGCTCAATGAATAATCTCGAAAATCCAACAATGTCCTCCATATATGGATGCATACTACAATCCATCAACTTAAACAATAATTCCTGTTTAGGAAATCAGATGGATCAAAAATGACCCCCCCTTTCTTCCGTTGCGCGGGCAGAACAGGCATGTGCCATGTAATGCGACATGTTTCATTTATGATAGGCAGATATACAGAGTATGGACCAGAGATCTTTGATAAAATCCTTTAATTTTACCATCAAATGCGATCAATATTGATTGCAGCCACAGAGGTGATTGGAACTTCCTTGGACGCTCCACCCCACGCCAGAGCAACGACTGCTACTGAATTAATGCATACTGATAAAGATCTGCCGGGATTCTCGTCAATATACATTTGTACTGGTGTGCATGACATGTTGGCTGACTGTGTCTCAAAAGCAATATCAATGACATTGCCTGATGCTTGTGAATGACATTGCAGTTGTAAAGATAGCAGCTTGATTATGTTGCTAAAAGGTATTATCAAACAGCGACAGGGGCAGATGCATATCAATTGCAAGGCCCAATTAGTACAAATCATGCATGCGCCTAATGCAAGAGACCCAAATCCTATTGGTAGGTGTGCTATAATAGCCTACGGGATGCATCAGACCTTAAGAAGACATTCACAGGCTATCTGACTGGTTAGGTACGAAGTACTCCGTAGTTGAAGTACCCTAATTGCTTCCTGAGTACTTATCTCTCCAGAAGATGGAATCACGGAGATGATTCCGAGGAATTGGGCACACAATTGATCCAAATCAATTGGAAGAGACCTTCTATTGTGATTTTCAAATACTTCCAGACAAATGGTAAATAATTTGAAGTGTAAATGACAAAGCGTAAAATCGCGTACCTGCGACTTATCAGCGCATATTCTTAGTCAATTCCTTATCTATGACTGCCCCTCAAAAACCCCGCCATGTCGCGTGGGTGGATCGTAGCGCGCCTGCCACATTATTCCATGTCAGACAGTCAGGAAGAATTCAAGTTAGCGGCTGAATCAGGAGTTACTACTCCGCAATATCATCTCTGTTCGAAGTTCTCTCTACAGAGTCAAAGTTGTAGGAATCAATACCCGATTCCAGACATATCTGCAGCCCAACCATCCCTTCAGGCGTAAAGTTTTATTTACCCGGTAAAACTATTACATACACGATCCAGAGACGAGTGCCGAATGTGGGGCGTGGCAACGATCCTTGGACAGCCAGAAGGCCGCCGAAACCGGACTGGTGTTACTAAGTAGGTATAATTTAGGACTTGGGAGGACCAGTAATTGGATAACTGTGCGTTTTGCACCGCCTCGAAATTGGCGAACGCTGGGAACATTTGGGGGTTTTACTGGAAACTGGATAGATAGGTTGTCAGAAAGTCACTGCGTCAAGATGATTCTGGAGAAATCATCTTCTCCAGACTTTTGGGTGGCGACCCTTGCTAGTGTCCGATCTGGGTGATGCGAATCCTTAGTCTTCCCGGCCTGTCTTGACAAGAGGGCCAACGACAACGGAGTAGAATCGGGAGATTCAGGAATCAGCTGCGACGAGTGGCTGTAGCTTCAGCCCTGTGGCCGATTTACATTTTGTCTGGACGACCGACGAACCTTGCAGACACTGTACCCCGTACTACAGAGGATAATCACCATTACCATCATGAGCCTGGAAGCTTCTGTTCTGTACGAGAATCAGAGACATTCTCTGGAGCATGAAACACAGCCATCGTTCTCTATCAATAGCAGCGCAGTGGTGCGGCTAGTGCAGTAATAAATAGAACATGTGTGTGGCGGTCCGCAAACACCCTTCTAGCCGGGTGCAGCTTAGCGTCATTCATATCCTCCACAAATCGAATACATCATCTTCGTCCGCCTGTCCGGTTTCGCCCTTGATCATATACGATAATATGTATGGAGTAGTTGACTTTGACTTCTGATGCCGACTGTTGACGATCTATTTGAATTCAAACAGTCCAAACAGGAGTATCTCACGACCGAGGACAAAAAGAAGTCTATGACGGTCGCCTCGGTAACTTCGGTTCTTTGCAATTAGCAAACCTCGAAATGCGCGTAATTTTTCGAAAGTCGAAACCCAACGTCAAATGTTCATAAAAGATAATCCAGAAACAAGATGCGGGTAATAGGAAATATATCCCTCACCGACTACTCTAAAAGCCTTCACCATTGGATAATGGCGCATTGCATCGTCCAATAGACAGCGGATAATAAATAATTTTCAGTCCAGCATCACATCTCAAGAACCCTGAAATTTTGAAACAGAAAAACAGGAATTATTATCATTCTTGACTGGCCAAACGCGTCCGCTGCTTGGCCAGTCATTTCCGCGCTCAGAGAGATTGCCTATCGCAAGACGCTTATTGGATGATTTTGTCGAACCATGACAAACTGCGCTGACTGGATCCCAGCTATTGTGATAGACTATCACATCAGGTACCATTTGCACGTTACTATGGAGTACTCCACCCAATATCGAAGTTGCATGTAAAAAAGGTAGAATGCACGACTCGAGGTCACTAACATCATGTAGATAGATACTTCTTGAATATGTCCTTGATCACTTGGAAAGTCAGGATCAGATCCATCTCACGTAAATCTCAATCCGGAATAGGCAGGGACAGTAATTCGCGCAGTTGATCAAACATTCCATGCCCCTTGCCACGCACCAAAAAAAAAAGTCAAGCATTTCGCATGGCAACTCATGGAGACATCTTCGATGCATTCTTCTGATACGTAATGGAAACGATGCTTGTGTATAGCCCCTTGCATGACACTGAACATATCAAATATTGTTAACAAATCACGCATATTGGCCTTGCAGGCACGTAGTACACCCGGTGTCCCTCGAGAGGTCATATCGTCTTACTTCAAAGTGGCATGAATTGCTTTACTGGTAAGCAACTATACATACAAGACAAGAGGAGGTCAGGCATGGCTTGACTGCGCTGCGTTGTGGATGAAGATATCCTTAGATTGCCGTTTGATGCTGTTAATGAAGGCTTCCTCCCATGAAAGGACATGGAATTGTGGCCCCCAGTTCACTCAATTATTACCACTTATGCGGTGCTATCTTGGACCATACAATTGCGAGTCCCATTCCAAGGTCACTTTTTGACGGCGTGCCTTCTGTCCTCCTTTGGTGAGCTATATGGAGCCTTTTTGTTGGCCCAAACTCTGTGATCTCAGCTTCACGTCTGGCTCGTGGACCTCTTACTTGAACAGACTATCTGGGGCTGTTGAGTAGACGCGGAGCTGATCTTTGGCAGCCTTGGACCAGTCAGGCAGTACCTGTTGTCAAGGTTCCTTATGGCAACACTACAAGGCTAGTGCTGTGCATGCAGCCCTATCACCCGGCACGCAGTAGTATATTGCAGCGTGAGAGTCAAGGCACTGTATTTGACGGTAAGCCAACCGACAGGCTGATTAGACGCTGCTCTCCACTTCAAGGACTCCGCCATTCGCCACAGGTTTCACCCGCGTCCCTTTTGCTGCCGTACCCACCGCGCAACCCATTCTACCAATATCCCGATGTCTTGGGAGATTTCCAGCACCCTGGCTATCTTCTGTTGCAGCTTGTATGACTCACTGTTATGTGCACCCTTTTCACTGTCCGCTGCCGTTTCATCATCCAGCAGTCCAGTCATGTCCACTACTGAAATGCGGCCGTTAGGGCCAATCTCCAAACTGATAGAGACTTTGCTCAGGACAGTCTCTGCAGAGGAACTCGCCAAACGAGGATCTTCCACGGTGAAAAGTAACATTATGACTGGCGACTGTCCAAGTTGTGTCCGTAAGGTCACATCTACCTTGACCTCTTCCTGATGTGCAGCATGCTCACGCAGACTTATTGATGGTGACATTGCAATGTCTTTCCCTGAGCCTGTAGCAGTAGCAGTTGACTTGTTGATTCCATTCAACAAGGAGTCGAGTTTCTGCTCATTCGGATCTTTATTGCTCAGAATGATCACTTTGTTTTTCTTTGTTGGCATCATCGCTTTTGAGGAATTCGGTTGCCTAGGAGTCCCCTCTGTGGCTGGTTCGGCGTGCTTTTTTGATACATCGTCCTTTCGCGGCGAACTAAATATTTTGTGAATCAGATTCGCAAGCAACGCATACTGGCGCAAAATCTGAAAAGGGTACAAGTGTTAGCAGATTAGTGCAGCGTGAGCACGTCTTGTACTTACTGGGAAAACGTCCGCAAGTTGCCGCGGATGTGAAAAGGGGATGTCACGCATCGTCCGCCCTGCAACCGACTCAAACGCCTGAAAAGTGTAACTATGATGCTTCGTGCAAGGACTTCCTTCTTGGTCGAAGCCTTGAACAGACGTTCTGCGCCTTTTGCGGCCGGGCTGAGCTATATCCTCGGCGCCAAGACCTACTGCACCCGTTGCTAACAGAGGTGACCATCCAGGAACTAGCAGACCGTCATAGGTGACCATGCGGAATTCGTGTGGAATCTGAATGCCTAGATGCCTGTAAATGTCTGAAGCTGCGAGGATCGGAACATCAAGAGGTGGCTCCATTCGAGCGACAAAACGGCGGTTCAGTGCAGAGGAGCCCAGCATGTTCGAATCAAGGGCCATTGCGTCTGAGCCACCGGAGCTCAGGGTAGGAGGCGGGTCAGCCCAGTTGACAACTGCAATATCTGAAGCTGCAGCCTCATTCGAGGAGGAGCCATTTGCAGCATTGTTGACCACTGTGAGGACATCAGAGTCAAGCCATTCTTTCGACACACGAAGTGACGGATAGCCTTCTTCGCATTCGATCATTACAAACCATTTTCCATTTTGGGGCTCTGCCACTTCACTAAGCGCTCGATTAGCTGGCCTATCAATGTCCATGGCGTCGGGAGGCGAATTCGCGTCTAAGACCTGGGCTTGATGGATCCAATAGTCTAGGCTTAGTCCGAGTCGACTCCCCTTGTGGAGGCTTGGTCGGCCAATGGACCCAGCACATAGATGTTCGTAAACACCTGAGAATTTAGGAAGCTTCTGCTCTTCATCCCATATCCGCTTCAGGCTTTGGTAGAGGCCCTCAATGGCCTCAAAACAATTGACCTCCTGACTGAGTCTGTCATGCTTGGACAGCCACTGCAGGTTTCCATGGAATCCGGCCAGTGATTTCCATGAGCCGCGTTCTCCGTCTTCCGGGTTTTGTACAAGATCTCGCTTCAGTACAGCAGTAGCTTCTTCCCGTCGTTCGCCATCTGTAGCGTCCGGTGTTGCATAGCTAAGGTTGACGTCTTTCACAACGTTCTGGCCGCGGTGAAATTCGATCTCAAGGTCAACGAAGTTTCCGGCAATGTTCAGATTGTCCTCCTGCCAGATAGATTCAAATCCTTCGAGTTGAACTAAACGCTCAATACCCTCTCTGCAGACTGCTCTGCCGGATATGCGAGTCCGTAGGAGCTGGACAACACCTTCAATGTGTCTTTTCCGCTCTTCGTCATTATCTCGAGCGGATCCAAGTTTGATACCTTGCATTCCGAGCGCCTGGATATCATGCTCATTCATACTCGGAACAACTAGAGCATCATGACCGGCAGGAGACGGGCTGATCCCACCGTAGCCACCCAGCGCTAGCAAGGCAGATGGTGAACTGAAGGTGACAGTATCCTCAATGCCTGTTGTTGCAGCAAGAGGAGTAGCATATTGGTGAGAGGATACACTTGGCTGATGACCATGGCCATGTCCCGATGCTGACGGTGTCCGTGTCGATGGTGACTTATGCGCTATGGGTCTTGCCATATGCGCGCCAGTAGGTCGAGGAGAAGAGGTCAAGTGGGTTGGGGTTGCTCCCGGATTTTGTTTTGTAGATGGGGTCGTCATAGTTGTCCGTTATTTGATAAAAGAAATCACATGAGAAGAAATCAAGTAGCAGCCACTGGAGATGACTGCTTTATAATCAATTGGGGTATCATGCAAAATATGAGATACAATCACAGCCAAACTAAGGATGCGATGCTTACTTCCCACGCTACAAGGGGATGCGCAGGAAACCACGGTCGAAACGTCAGGTATCACTAAATCAGCGGCATCCTACGGGAAGGTTCCTGAAAGGAGCATTTTCAATTATCCAGATAAAGAATGGAAGGAAGCCATCAGCAAAATCCGTCAATGGGAGGAAAGGCATGGAACTCCATCGCAAGGCCTACAAAGCAGCAACAATAAATTGCTGGTATCGACTCCGCGGGATCACATGATTTTGTCTTGTTTGTCTCAACAGCGTCATGAAGCTCCAAATAATTCTGTGCAGACCGATCGACTGCTTCTCGACTCAGCGATATATTTACAATATGATCTTGTCCATGTCCTTTGCGCGACAGCCGTTCAGGTTAGCGAGATGGTGCCAGATTCGCACAGTGTCTACCCTAGAAGGCAATCCCCATATCGTAAGTTCGGCAGCCAGAGTGTCTGCCATTTCTCGGGCTCACAATCACAGTATGTTTTCTCGAATAAACCCCAAAGTGGAAGTCATACCTTGTCACTCTTGTCTTCAGAGCCTGTCAATCCCAAAACAGCCATTGGCGTCACATCCAAGCTACCTCCTTCGACGGACTCTTTCAGGGAGAATCCCAACTTCCTCAAGATCCTACAAGAGGTCATTTCTGAGTACGGCCACAAAGATCCGGACGCTATCTCTCAAGCCCAAGTTATGGTTTCCACATCGGGGGCTAATATAGGATCGGGAGGAGTCCTGATGACGGGACAGAGTGGCAGAAGACGGCGAGAGAGCAAGGACTCTAGTGGAGGAGCCAGTGGCCAGGGTGGTGTTGGCTCTGCTGGTAGAGGCGGCTGGATACATCTTTCGGACAGCAGAAGACCTCCAGAGTTTGGTCGTATTGCATGGTAGCGACCCTCTTCGCCGAGTTGTCCAATTGAACCGCTAACGAACCGGCAGGCCCGAGGATATCTTCGGCAGTCTAGAAGTTGATGCGAACGGGAAATTTGTCGGAGACAATGGGAATTATCAGCCAAGCGGTACGATTTTATACTTATGAGACGAGTTTGGCGCAATTTTGAGCTAACCAGAAAACAGGCACTTACAGAATCGTTACTAGAGACGGAATGTGAGTCCCCTCGCCCTTTGACTAGTTCTGAAGCTGACATGTTGCGCTGCAGACTCGGATTGAGTCCTTTCCTAAGAGAGAAGCTGGTCCAAAGACTACGTGAGCTACAATAGGGCAGCCTCAGCTTCAAGTCGGGGGTTATACCGAGCTATGTAACACCATGATCTCACTTGTACTATAATACCACATGTGTGAACACATTGAGTATGGAAACTGCTGGACAGTTGGCTCGTTACATTCATTTCTCATTAGGTGATTCGACTGTTATGCCGCACTGCAGTCTCAGTGTGTGCGCGTGTTGAGGCTGGATTGATCCTACTGCAAGCCACGACCCCTTTCCCTGATTTTGAACGGTGCAAAAACACTACGCATACCATCATGATGCCCGTACATTTGTGGTTTTCATTTCTGAAAAAAGTTTGTGATTCGCTGAGAACCATCAGTCGTCTTCCCGTGTGTCTTCTTTAGAGGCTTGTCGTTGTGCGTCGCACTTCGCGGTTTTCTACTCGATGTGGTCGTCTTCCGCTCAGACTTAGCCTTCGGCTCATGCGCCTTTTCTGCTGGGGAGGGTGAAGGTGCTGGCTCGGTTTTCTGTTTCTTCGGGGCTTCATCGCCAATGTCATCGCCGTCCGGAGGGTACTCTCTTTTGACGCCTGGTTCTGGCAGCGGAGCATTATTTTCACTCCATTGACTGTCTTGAGTCTTGCGCGGCTCATCCAAATCTTTCACCACCTTTTGTTCGGCAGAGTGCAAGGATTCCTTGGCGTCCTCATCCCTGGCGGAGGTGACTGCTCCACCCTTCTGCTTCTTCGCATTGGCGAAGAAATTGGCGATATTACTCTTATTGTCCTTGCTGTTGATCGGAATGATGAAGTCGGGCGAGTTGTTTCCCACTTTGCCGACCTCTTTGGAGACCGGATAGCATTCCAGTTCTCCTTCGTACGGTTTCAGGATGGACTGCAATTCACTGGACCAAGTTGTCCGTTCGGGATCCAGCCACATCTTCATTGCTTCGCTATTGGGCTCGAGTATCACTGGCATTCGATCGTGGAGAAATTTCAAGTACGAGTTCGAAGAAGTCGTGATGATGGTATATGTGTAGAGCTTCTCGTCAGAGCCTGTACCTGGACTCAGCGGACGACGAACATCGCAAAGACAGCAGGTAGAATTGTATACCTTCATACGACACGCAATCCCACAGTCCGGCAAAGCACAGCAAATCCCCGTCCTTGCGCTTGATGAAGTGCGGGATCTTCTCTTTACCTCCAGGTCCTTTCTTCAACCATTCGTAGAAGCCTTGGCAGATCACAATGCATCGCTTCTTCCGCTTCATGGACGTCCACATCCCGCGATCCTCGATCAAAGAGTCATCGCGACAATTAATCGTTCGCATCAGAGATCCGTAATCAGGTTTCCTCTTTGTCCAAAATGGTATGAGGCCCCACCTCATGCTCTGAATCTTGTACCTCCATTTCCTATCATAGTCTTTTTCTACACTGTCGACTGCTTCTGGAGATGGCTCCCGCGGGTGGTCTGTAGTGTCCTGCTCTTGCGCGTCGTCAACGAACCCGCGGTCAGAGACATCGGCCCGGTAGACAGCACCGTTAGACCCTGGAGCAAAATTGTATGTTTCTCTCACTTCATCGTCCTCAGGGACCTCGTCAACCTGCATGCCTTGCTCCTGCAGACGGCGTCGCACAAATGCCATCCGCTAGCGATAAGATCAGCACTAGACATAGAAGCACTGGGATTATTGGGGGCTACGCACCACTCCAAGGGCATATCGTCCACACATTTTGGAGGCGCCACGTTCCTACACCGGGAAATTATTGCGCACGTTGATATAGAATAGTATTTCTGAAGATGAAACAGCTATTGAAAGAGCGATAGTGCTGGCGCTGGGCGACGACTTCGACGTCATATCATATCCGCAGGCGGAGAAGCTTGGACCACTAAAACCCTTGAAATTGATAGATGCTCGATTTGAATTTCAGTCGCCGCGGTTTTTCGATCACTTTCGTCCACACTTTCACCACTCAACATCCGATCGGGTGCCAGTTCATGATTTGACGACTCGTTAGAAAAATCAGACAATGTTTAATGCAGCATCACGGCGCGCCTGCGCCTTCATTTCGAGGCCGAGAAACCTACAATGCAACAAAGCTCTCTCAACACGCACGGCGTCTCACAAGTGTCAACCCGGGAACAGCACCAGATCATCACTTCAGAGACAATCACAGACCCCGTTCTCGTTACTACAACATACCCGTCCTCAATACCGACAACTTAGCTATGGACAGCGGATGAAACGCGGCTTCCAGGAAGCATCAAAAGGAATTTGGCGCAAGAATCCCATCCTCCTCCCACTCGCCATTATCTCCGTCGCCGGAGCCACTGCCATATTCGCATACATATCCTACGTGGAGTTGACGCGCGTCGGCCCGCAGTATCACAAATTCCCACCTCCAGTTGCCGAGTCACTCCGGACGGCGGTATACTACACTGAAGTTGACCTCAATCCAGCCAAGGCGCTGAAGGCATACAAGGAGGCTCTGAGGAAGGCAGTCGAGCTTGGCATGCATCCCTTCTCTGATGAGATGGTAGGAATACATCTCCAGGTATCGATGATGCTTGAGAAGGCCGGGCTGGTGAAACCCGCCATCCAGGTCCTCGAGCGCACACAGACCGAGTGCCTGAAGTGGGTGGAAGAAGGTAGGAAGAAGAAGGATGCACAGAAGCCTGAAGCTGAAGCGGTGACGGAGTCGATTCAGATCGACGATCCGGACGCGCTAGCAATGCATCAGAAGATGAAGGAGCTGGACGAGTACGAAGACCGCCAGCGAGACAAGGTCCTGAAGAAGGTTGTCGGCATCCACATGAAGCTCGCAGAGCTGTACGCAAGCGACTACATCCAGGACGAGAAGAAGGCCGAAAGCTATCAGGAAGCCGCGGTGGAACTGTGTCTGAAAGAGCTCCGCCGTCGCCAGGAGCTCGGCCTTCCCGTCGGGAGTGCCTCGGAAGACGCCAGTACAGCCTGGCTGAACCTCTCCGAGATTGCCACTGCACTCACAGATCTGGGACAGACATATTTAAAGCAGGAGAAGAATGAGCTCGCCATGCCGCTCTTGCTGCGCGCGCTGGACCTCCTGCGCACAGACGAGGGCAGCACACCCTCCTGCAAGCAGGTGACGCTCCTCGCCGACGTGTCCACCGCGATCACCGGGGAACTACACAAGAAGACTCCTTCCCGTGGGTCTACTGCCGCGCCTCAACAGCTCATCGACTCGGGCAACCAGTGGGCGCAAAAGGCCCTAGACGTTGCTGCTAAACTACAGCCTCCTATCCGCGACGAAGAATGTGATATGTCCTGCCTCGCGGCAATGTATAACCTGGGAGAAATTGCCCATCTTCAGGGTAAGCGGAAGGAAGCCGAACAGTATTGGATGGAGGCCAAGTCTCTGGCTCGGGGGTTGGGACTCGAAGAGAATGCCGCCCATGTGGAGGAAGCTCTTGCGGAATTGAAGAAATGATGTACAATAGTATGAAAAATGAAGACAATTCGAGATTGCTACCATATCGACTGTCAGGAGGCATAATGCCATGTTTCTGCAGCGAGTTGACTGAAGGGCAGTGCAACATGTAGACACGCAGTCCCATACGTGTGCTTCGCCAACCGGCAGTGATACGATTGAAGAGTAGGAAGACAAGTAGATTTTTATAGTATGTTTTTTTTTTTTTAATTGGTATTAGAACATTCGG